CCACCCTGCAGCCCCTACCTGAGACATTATCAATCAAACTTAAGTTATCTCTATTGTTTGTCATTTCTACTGAGTCGAATCCACTCAACTTCAGTTTGATTGATATTATCTGAAGCAAACAACAACAAAAAATACGTTTTCTGAAAATCTACAAAAATGGAGTTGTCTGTTTTTGCAAATGAACTCTTCAAATTCTCATTGCCAGCTAATTTGCAAATTGTTTTCATGATTAACTGAGTGATCTAGTCAATAAAAATGTCAAGAAATAATGAGAAAAACCCAAAACAATTTCATAAATCCAAAGCAGACATCTTCAAACAGTCAAATATTTATAATCTACTATCATTCAAACTATCATGGATCAGACGTCAAGTCAGTACAGCGTTGCAATTAAGAATTTAGAACCAGCAACGATTCACGATTTAAAACACCGACTTGAACAATGTAATAAGTAAACTAAGACAGAATTAAGATAGTGTGCGATTGTGCCCTCGCTGTCTCTTCATCTGGAAAAACTCTCCAAAGCCTAAATGTGAGCGACACATTCTGTGACGATGAGTCAAAATGCAGACAGAGTTCCCACCACCGCGGGCCATCTCTGAGAACTGAAAAACAGATATTGAGCTGATGATTCCCAGTCAGATAAATGTTTGTTTTGGAGAGCGTTGCCTTGTTTAGATGTTTTTGGTTCCTGATACTGTTCCAGCCTTTGGAGACCAAAATAGCTCCCATCTGTTCAAACGGTACAGCGAAAAGTTTTCGGCTGAACAAAGTGTCTTCGCTGCAGCAGAAAAACTGTGGCTTGAGTCTGTCTCACCAATACGAGACGGGCTCCGACGTAAGAGAGCGAAACACATGCGCTGCTGTTTTTGCCCAAACCCCCATCAATTACACTTCTGCCTTGGAATGTGGTGCAAATGTAAAGAAGCAGGAAAACAGAATACAGACAGAAGACAGTCAGACAGCTCCTGCGTTGACTCACCGACTATAAATGTGGCACTTTAAAGATTTCTTCCCTGAGTTCGTTTAAGGATACACCTTTGGAGCGTGAGTGTGAAAGAGAGGCGACTGGAGAGACGTTTAGTTAAATTCCACCTACTATGCGGCTTCGTGGTTGCCCGGACAGGTCATGTAGGGAACGTAGGCCGCTATGGACTGGATCTGCCTCATGAACTCATCTCCAATCCTGGCATTGTCCTGGAACAGTGTCATTCATCCATTAAACATGACGCCAAAGATTTTCCCGTTGGATGTTGCATTTTTTTCCCCCCCTCCATTCACTGCTATTCGGCCAAATTAGTTTAAGAACTGAGCGAGTCCATTTTCCAGACAGCTTCAGGAATGTATCGTCAGGCAGGCAAGCAAACAGGCCTCATTGAAACCAGAAGAGCAGGCCTTTAAAAGCACGCTGCAGTTTATTGCCGTGCTGATGGCTTTTACCTGCCACAGCCATTAATGACCTTTCACACAAAGTTCTCCTCTTACTCTGTTTTTCTATTTATAATGTTGGTGAAGCCGCAGGATGTGCTCGCACATTCCAGCTGAAAACACAGCTTGTGTGAATTATGGTTATTAATTCTAGCAGACGTCTGCTGATTGCATTCATCGCTCCCTGTATATTAAAAAAAAAAAAGGCATTAATAAAGCGAGAAGTCATTTAAGGGGAAAATGATATTAGCATCCAAGACAAGGTTATGTCCGCTAAATATCAAAGATGACAGCAGGGGGAATTTCATATGAGCAAATATGTTATTGGGACTTAAGACTTGTGGTTTTGAAGAGCACCACTTTTATTCATGAAATACTTGGGCGACATGACCCTAACTCTCATCTTTCACCGCAGGCTTAAGGCATTTCGCAGTAATGCTAATCATAAGCTGAATGTCTTAACCACTGCTGAGAGCTTTTATGTGCCCTGATAATAAACAGTGGTGCGCTGTGGGACGGGGGCAGCAGAGGAAGGTAAAGTGGCTTATCTCATCTGTCACTCCGGAATTAATGGGATATCGGAGCAGTTTTAAGAGCATAAGGTATTGATGAAAGAAATTTGCCGTCAGTGATCCGGGCGCAGGGTTTTATCGCGCTTCACAGTGATGGAAAGATAGAAGGGTGGAATACCTCGTCCATATCATAGGCGAAGTCACCTGTGAAACAGAAAATAAAGCTTTCGATTAGTGTGACAATATGGACATCTTTGGTGCCAATTAAGTTTATATCCTTATCTGTTTAACTTTATTTAAACCCTTAGATGTTGTTTTTGGAGGTCTGTACGTGAAGGAATAGTTTTCGCAGTTGTTTTCCTCCATAGAGTTGAAAAGAAGACAGAATGCTAGATAGAATGTTAGCTAATCTAGCTTTAGCCTCCAGTATCTCTAAGACTCAGTAAGTTAAAAAAAAGTTAAATGTTAAAAAGTAGACTGAAGCATTGCACCAACCTCCTCATCTAAAACTCAGTAACAAAGACATTAAAGGAGCAGTACGTAGGATTTGGTTGCTTTTACCAGTGAGGTTGCAGATTGAAACCAACTGAATATTATGACCTTAAGTAGCAGTGGTTGGCACTGCAATGTAAAAATGCAAAAGGCCCCATCTAAAGCCAGTGTTTGGCTTGTCCATTCGAGGCTACTGTAGAAAACACGGCAGTGCAACTTACATAAGACAACCCACTCCCTCTGAAGGGTTCACTCAAAAGTAATTAAAAGACAATGGCTCCTATTTTAAGGCGATTATGCAATAATGAAGACATAATAAGGAATCTTACACTCCATGTCAGCTAAAAACTTCCCATAAAACCTCCACGCTGGTCCTTTAAGTGTGTTTCCCAAAACATCAGACTAAATCTAAATGGCTTGTTAACTACAGTTATCCTCAGGCCCCGTTGTCATGCCAGCAAAACAATCAGCCCCAGCATTCTTCCAGCAGTCGAAACAGGTCATTTAGCGTCCTCAACAAGAGCAAGCAACGTACAAATGTGCAGCAATTATAGAATAATCCTTACAGTATAAATAAATCATTCTGAGTAATCAGTTACTAGACTTGAATGAACAAGAACATTAAGTGTGCTTAAAGCAGGAACACGTGTAAATGTTCACTAATCTGTAGATCAGTGTAATTTGTTCGCTTGTTCACAGCTGCTATATGCTGTATGAAAAGCTTCTCCTTTAGTTTAACTCCTGCAGCCATAACACACAAAGTATGCTGATGATTTAAGAAATGGCACGACAAAACACAGTGACAACAGCCTGCTAAAATCCGGTTAGCTAATAAGACTGTGCATTCTTTTTTTATTCTTTTTTAAAGTCAGAATACTGCAGCTCATCGTTCATGTACGTCACTGCCTCCTTTCTGACTTTCTTTTTAGCCAAAGTAGCATTTCATGTTTTATTCGTAAAGTGCTGAAATAAAACTGGATTAGTTCTATTATAACTGCACAAGTTAAATAAAAAAATCCACACCATTCGTCTGTGGCTGCAGATTTAAGCTGCTGTGTGCTTGTGCGGTGCCAGCAACATAATTTCTTGGAGAACACTCTTTCAATTGGTTTAGCTTCGGTCCGTACGTACCATTGTGATCGTTACTGCCATGTGAGAGGCCAAGAGTGGATTTATTCATCACCTCTGATTTATGCAGCACCTCAGCCAGACCTTTTGCACTTTGCGCTACTGCACCTTCATAAACCAATATAGCAGCTGACACTCACACAGTCCAGGCGCCTGCTGCTGCTGTTGCGCTTGCACGTTTAAAACACGGCCTAGCAGGGGAAATTGTGTTTAACTTAGTGGTTCATTTAAAAAGCCAACAAAAAGGAAGCGAGCCAGCGAATCAAACGTTCTGGGAAAACACGTTTTGGCACAACGTGCATAGATCTGTTTAGACTCTACAACCTACTCACATTTTCAGTTGTGAGGCAAAAGCAAACACGTGACTGGAACCGAACCCGTATTGTTGAAAAGAAATACTGCAAATGACGAATATGTATTATTATGCTAATTATAGTAATTTACAAAATGATATATTATCTCTTCATTATGCATTTCTGTTGGACGTCAGCGAGCTAACACAATATGTGTAAGCAGTGCCAGGTATCTGTGGATGACTAATGCCTTTGGATTCTGTCGATAAAACTAAACGCCCCTTTAACTGCTTTTACAGTGCAAAATAATAACGTTTCTATCAGTGTAGTGGTTACCTATGTGCAGGATGACGTCGTACATGCCAAGCTGTGTCTCCTTTTGCAGCCGAGCCAGAGACTGAGGGTTCTCGTTGCCCAGATCACCATACAGAGCAAACCTGGGACTGAAACTAGAGCTGTCGTTCAGAGCAGTGAAGAGGAACACATCGCTCCAGCCTTCATCACTGCCACAGTGGTAGACTGAACAAACAAGGAATTAATCTTTATATGGTGAGACAGTCTGACAAGCCAAATCAGCAATATCAAAGCTCCACCCACCATAAGTAGCAGCAGGTTTGAGGTCTGTGAGCGTGACTCTGTGGATGAACATCTTCCTCTTCTCCTCTCCAGAGTCCACAAAGAGAGTAGCGTCACCGCTGGCGCTCATCTCAAACAGCCGACCCCCCAGAAGGCCATACTCCACCTTACTCTCTGTCTTATTGAAGGTGGTCCAGGTCACGACCATGGAGCCTGGAGCTCCTGGGAAGAAAAGCCCCGTTATTGAAAACGTGATGTAGATTGATCTGACAGACCTACTGGATTCACTTACTGATGCATTTATAAAAGCCGAAAAGAAAAGCTGACTTTACAAGAGTGGTGCTTTTGATCTTGCTGCTGGCAAGATATAACCATGAGAACGTTGAGTTAAGCTGACAACTGGCCAGGTACTTATTTCATCAAGACATCAACTCATTAAATGACTACCACATGTTTCACCTTCGTAAAGAACGTACAAAAGGGTATTTATGCTGCACCGAACATCACCCATATGTATGGCAGTTTAGGTAATTATCTGGTGCCTTTAACCTACACGACTTACAGACAGCGCACAGGTGCTGCTTCGTTGCACGGGACACTAAAGCAGGATGGTGTTTTGTCGCTAAAAATGTCATCAGCTTCATTTGCTTTAACGCAGCTGCATTAAATGAAACGCACGGATGAAGATAATTAAAAATACAATTGAATCATCTTGTTGCAAAGCTGCACAACAACATAAAAAGCACTGGTATATTTAGAAGGCTGAAAATCCAGTCCGCTAAATATACGAGTGCTTTCAGCCATTGTAATATTGAGTGATTTGTTCAAATGGTCTGTAAATCTGCTGGCCATATGACCTGGATGCGTGTTTGTATTACTAAGGGGAAAATAGTATCTCTAAATGAAAACACATGAGAATAATGGAAACGGTTTAAACACTTACCTGCGTAGGAGAGGTGCACCTGCTCCGGCTGGGTCCAAATTGGAGGAACACCGTGCACCAAGAGCGGTGCGAGGCTTAACAACACACAGGCAGCATGAAGAGGCACCATTTTAACACTGACCTGCAGGAACAAAAGCCGAGTTAAAGAAGCCGCACACACTCCAGTTTAGACACATGATCTTTAAACCTCTCACACCCAAATCACATGACACTAAAGGCACTAGCACATAAAAAAGAAGAAGTGGATGAATATACCTCTTATAAGCCTTTCAATACCTGACCTGGCCTCAGTGCCAGTTCACACAGTGCTGAGTGGCATACACTTCAGTTTGTGGTGAAGTCAGTTAACCTGCAGTCAACCCGAATGATGAAACTGCAGAACCACAGCAGCGGAGTCAGCGAGAAGCGAGGAAACAGATGATGTGTCAATAAAAGCAGCTGATGTTGTTGTTCAGTGTGCATTCGGAGAAGTACCAGTGAGCTCAAGCACAGCACAGATTACCCTGCAAGTTGTGGCTTGCCTCCGATCGATAGTGCAGAGGCAAACAGCTGATCAGGGTAAACGTTTTCAGGGTGATGGCTCACGAAGACATTCAAGTTTTCATTTGAGCCATTACTCTCTATCGGCTGATCGGTGACAGAAGCGGCCTGTTCAGCTGATTATGTGGTGTCTCAGTGGGAACAGCTGACTGGTTGGGAGGATAACAATCTGGACCACTGATTAAACAGTGTTTAGTTTTGAAATGCATGTCAATAGTCGCTAGAGGGTGCACTGCTGCACTGCAGTATGAATAGGCTGCTTTATACTCTCATACTGGGCGGCTTCATACGTTAGATAGTGGTCAGTCTTGTAAAGGAATCAAAAGGATGTTCAACTCAATTATCTCTGTTTAGGGAAGGAAAACAAGGTGAGTACGACAGGTTCACCATTACAGATAGCTTATTTGACTTATTTTAAGTGTAGTAACACAGTTATTTTCTGTCAGTGACAGACATATCTTTACTGATTGTAACCGTAAACAGCTCTAATTAACTCGGTTTCTATTTCGTTAGCTGTTAGCTTCAGGATGTACTTATTCGATAATTAACAGCTAATAGGTAATAACGGTACGTACAACAGAAGACAGTCAGTCTCCGGACAACACTTACAGTTAAAACTAAAGGTAGTGAAAGTCGGTGTCCACATGCAGAGACGTTTTCTATCCTCGGTAAGTCAGCAAACTATCAACTTAATAACTTAAACACTCAGAGCAAACAAAGCTAAGCTCTTTGACCGAAGACTACTTCCTGACCACGTCACTGTGCGGAAGAACAACAGTGCCCACGAGGATTGTGGGAAATTGAGTTTTCATGTGTTTAACCGTCAGAGCAGCAAATTGAATGCTTTATGGATGTAAATTTATGAAAGCCCCTAGCAGACTCCATCTAAATGATAATTTAAGCTTGAAAACGAAAAAGTAATTCCATAATAGCGTTATTATTTTTCCACAAATGTATGTGTCATCTGAGTATAAATTAAATTCAAGATTCCAACTGGGATTTTCATTTTCACATACCAGTATGGGTGACCATATTAAAATGAGAATGAGAAGCGCGTTTGACATTTAATTTTCAAAGACTTAACCTACTCTACAGTGGATAATATTCAAATGCAGTAAGCCCCTAGTCATTTGCATTCACATTTGCATGTTGCTCTTTTGGAGTCAAAATGTAAATGAAAATGCAGTTGGCTAACAATTTGGAAAATAGAACGAGAACAACCTACTCTACAGTGGACAATATTCAAATTCAAGCAAAACTATGGCCCCAGTATATTGGATTTACATTTACATGTCACCTCACTCCTCAGGTGTCACAGTGAACATTAAATTACCATCTCTCAGTCCTTTCATGAAGCCACGACTTCAGGTAGAACACCACTTCCTCGTTCAGCTCCACTGTCAGCTAACTTTGGCACTGCAACGGTGGTGGAAAAGTATTTAGATCCTTTATCTTAATCACAGTGCTTTCTTCTCTTGCAAAAATCTGTGCAAAGTCCATGTTTTTGTACAAACAGAGGAACCGTACATCATTATTTTTCACATTCAGAGGACATTTCTTGTTGATATGTTTTTCTATTGATGTCCCCTTTGCTGCTGCAACACAGCAAATTTCCCCGCTGTGGGATCAATAAAAGCCTATCTTATCTCATCTCATCTTACTTAAAAGTAGTAATGCTACAGAATAAAAACAGCCTGTAACACGTTAAAGTTCTGCATTCAAAATCCTGTTAGTACAGAAAGTAAACTCATTAAGCAGAATAGCCGATTTCAGAATCATATATATGATATTATGGGATTATAATTTCTAATTACTTTATCAGTATGGGCAGCCTAATCTACTTAAAATATTACAGCATAATTAATTACTTAGTTTATGTTTTATTTTAGTAAATTACTTGAAATTGAAATAGTGGTTATTATTGTCTATTTATTGTTTAGATTGTTTATAGTCAGAATTACGTTCTATATTTATTGTCTGCATCCTGTTTATATTTTTTTTTTCTATTTTTCTGTTTTTTAAAATATTTTTTATACTTTTTTTCTATGTTCATTTTGCACCATGGGGCATCGGAGTACGGCAATTTCAGTTCTCTGTATGTTGTACATATGACAAAACTGACAATAAAGCTGACTTGACTTGAAATTAAATAACTAGGAACTAAAGCTTTAAAATATATGTGGTGCGACTTGTAATGTTTTTGTCTCTAAATTATAGCTGTATTGAAAGTAGAATAAAAATTTTAAAAAGAATTAGTACCTCAAAGTTGTACATAAATTCAGTTCTTTGGTAAATATCTTAGTTGCATTAGTCCACTGAAATTTAGAGACAAAAATTAAACTGCCATTGCCGTATTATTTTGAGAGTGACAGCTGGTTGTGTAAGTGTATGTACTTGTTGTATTACTCATGTATGCACAGTCACGTTGTGGAGACTTTTTCAAACAAAAAGCAGTAACAGAAAACCTTACACAAACATTAATATGAGGCTAAATGTGTGTATTAAGTCCTACTAACATTTTGCTAACTGATTTTCTTCCCTCTCTTTAGAGCTGATGGACTCCAACACTGCAGACAGAAAGAGCCAAAATCCTGAACATGCCTTCCACTATGATGCAGCGCACTACAAAGTGAGCTACTCTCACGGGAGAAACCCCAGCGAGGTGAGCTGCTCACTATTATACACAAGATGATTTCTGTATGCTGGACCTGTATTGCTGCTCATAGCTCTGTACTGTCTCATCATGCTACTGTGTTATTCTTAAATGCAGGGAGATTACGATCAAAATGAGGAGCTCAACAAAAAGCGGTACGTCGTTCATGCTTTGTGTTTACTGCAGCGGTTGCGTTTTGCTTTCAGTCCAAATGCTAAACATTTTATCCCATCCAGGTACCCAGTTAGTCGCTGTGGCAACAAACCGGGCAGAGTGAAGCGGGTGGTGTCGTGCAAGAGGAAGACTCATCATCTGGCCGTGGCTCGGAGGAAGCAGCTCGGGTCTGGGAGGACCTGCGATGCTGCCAACAAGGAAAATGAGATGAAGTGCTGGCAGGACACGGAGCAGGATATCTTCAGTATGGAGCCACTGGAGTTCCCACTAAATTTCATCAGTAACCACAAGACTGGTAGAACTGGTCCTGAACAGACTGACTACTGTACACTCACTGAGGTGAGAGAGAGAGACCGTCACAACACTTCTTTCATGTTCACGAGAAACTATCTGAACCTCACCATGTTTTTCAGCTCACGAGGGATCACAGCACGATGACTGATGTGCTCTTTGGAAGAAATCTCAGGCTGAAAGTGGCTCTAACGCTGTGGCAGAGAAACGTTGGGGAGCTGCTGACGTACTTTTTGAGGTGCGTTTGGTTTTAAACATGTGCGATGCAGTGTGTTTCAAAAGTATGGTTACCTCACTGTCTTTGTACAGAATTCAAGACACCGGTGTGTTTGTTGATTTCCTTCCCCTGATCAGCAACTGGTAAGTAGTTTAATTTAATCTCAGTGCCACTAACAAGAAATGGAGCCAGTGATGCTTGAGTGTAATTTTCTCTGCAGCATTGACGAGGATTCTTCCAGGATGACCATCGGCTGCTGCGTCGACCTCTTTCCTCTGGTTAAGAAAGTCCTCGACAGTCCGTATGAGGAGTAAGCATTTCTGCTGTTTTGATTGGAACTGATCTACTATAACAAATCACACAAGCAGAAGAACAACCAATAAGTACAGCAGCAGGATATTTACAGAAATTGTAATAATTTAAGATTGTCTTTTATTCTTATAGGTATCTTATTGTTGGTTTAAAGTGGATCCGTTCAGTTTTGAAAACCTGGTGGAAGGAGCTAAGAGCAAGTAGATGCAGTGACTCTGCTAAACCGCTGGATACGTAAGTGTTGCTTCATTATACTTAAAGATGAAGCAATGTTATGGTTTGTTATTGACACGACAAACCAAAAGTGATCATTTAGTCAAAGAAACTTCTGACATTCAACCCAAGAAATAAATTAATCATACATAGTTAGTAGTTATGTCCATAATTCACTGTTATTATTATTAATATATGGTATATTGTGTAGATCAGCAAAAAAAAAGAATAGATTTTTTTTTATTAATTTATTAACTTTCTTACAGAAATTTCCAAGTTTTCAACCAGCAGTTGTTGGAGTTTTGGCACCAGGAACCTTCCTTGAAATGTGTCCCAGGAGCTGCAGGAGACATAGTAAAGGTCAGTGTAAAAATACAGAATTCACCACTATTGTGTTTTTATTTAAGGTTTTCTTACACTGAACTAAAATGACTCCATACATCCTTTTTCCCTTTCAGGTCATCGACTCCTTCTTGTCTCAACTGACTTCACAGCCGTGACGATCAGGACGCCATCTTTCTCCCAAAACACTTAAAGAATCCTTGTAGAAACCTTAGAAGTTGTTGTGTCCAGCGAGTGCCTTTTTGATTGTACCGTCGACTTGACGGGTTTGTCAGACTGCAGCGCAACTCGAGTAAAATATTGAGCAACATGTGCAATAGGAAGTTTGATTTGATTGTCTCTTCAGTGATAAATAAGCTGATTTAATTCTCGTTACACTACAGAGACTTTGACGACTGTAAGAATGAATGTCATGTATGTCATTTTTATTCACTGTATCTGTTCTATTTAACTGCTTCATCAGTGATTATTAAAGTTTCTATTTATGAGTTTTACGTTTGTGCTTGGTAATAAAATCAATTCTTGTTACAACAAATGTCTTTTCATTGGGGAGAGGTAGCACTGACATGTACAAATGCAAACTTTATGTAAAACTGTACACGCTGTCCTTTACTGTGCTGCACCTGAAGTTAAAGTCCAGTCGAGCTGACATGTTTAAGCTAAACCTCCACAGTTTAGTCTCGCCTGGACTTCGACCTCATTTACCGTTGAAGTGATTTAAAGCGAGGCAGAGATACGGGTTTAACACGCGGGTTTATCTCAGTCGACACAGATAAGTGGAGGCTCGGCGTCTGTCGTTGCGATGTGAACCTGAGGCTGAAGTCCAGCTGTAACTGGGCAGGAGAGGCTGTGTGAAAGGATTCAGTGAACTCTGAATCCAAAGTCAGCAGTTGTGTTTTGCATTCTGGTGCTTTTCCAATCAGCAGAGTGGACGAACCTCGGCGTGGAGTGTGAAGATCCGAGGACAACGTATTCCTACAGTGTGTTTCTTCACACAGGTGGCTCTGCTCAATGTAAGCACTATAAATGTAAATTTCTTCTGTCCAGTTTATTTTGTGTGTCCAGTAAAATCAATATTAAGCTCGCCTGTATCAAGAACTAAACGCTGCCGGTTTGGCCGCAGAGCAACGTGAAGGATGGGCTGTCTGAGATGCTGGCTGCCAGCTTTGCTGCTGCTCAGTGTGACTGGATGTGACGTGGAGCATCTCCAGGCAGAGAACCTCCATCTTCTTCCCCCAGATGAGCATAACTTAGTCCTAAACCAGGGAATGAGAGGTACTTTCACTTTCAGTTTGGCATTTCATTTTGCTGTCTGTTTCAGTAATACACTTTGCAGCAGCGGGAGAATGAAATGCACAGAACTTGATCACGTAATGCACTGCACAACATGTACTTTGTCTGATTGCTTTATAAAATACTAAATTCTTTTCAGATTGTCTGCGTGGAATATGTCTGTGGATGTGGGTCAAACTCCAATCCGTCAACAGAAAATTCTTAGTGACTCACTGATGATAAATGTTGTGTCCAGTGAGGAGATTTAAGGATATCTAAGTAGGACAAATGTCAGACAAACAGTTGTCATAGTTTGGCAGCTGATGGAGGTTTTACCACGTTTATCTGGGAAAGACATTGAGAAACGGTGCTGCTGTGTTGTTGTCATCAATGTAATGATTAATTAGTGGTGTGTGTGTGTGTGTGTTGGGGGGGTAGAGTTAGACATTATTACATACTACTAATACTACTACTGCTGCTACTGCTGCTACTGATAATGACAATAAAAAGAAGAAGTACTGCACTTTTGAAAACAAGGGCAAGATTCCCAGAAAGAGTCATAATTAAAATAACATTAAAAAAGAAAGAATACAGATGCAACAATACAAAATGCTATATGTCTGTAATAATCAATACGAGTAAATTAATTTCAGCAATTCAACCTTAACTAAGTTAGCTATAAAACACATTTAAAACAACAGCTGTTGAGCTAAAGCGCTTCCCAATAGAGGAACCAGATTGGCAATAGAAACTGACCCTGTATTGTAAGTAGCAGAATATTACTAAATAGGCAAATAACACTGACTAATTTAAAATATTAGATTCTACAATATAAATAATATTAATAACAAATTGCATGAGTATTTTAGATTATTTCTTGAGAGGTATCTAATAAATCCAGAGGTACTGGCAATAGTGAAAAGGAAAAACATCCTTTCAACCAGAACCCGGCTCAGGGAGGTTGGTCGTCTGCCTCGACCAGGCAGGGTGAGGGTAAAGAGAAGAGAGGAAAGGATAGCAGAGACAAACAGAAACCAAACACAGGACAGGCTGGTGGCACCTGTCGCTACAGATCAGACCAACGCAGCTGCAGAAATTCCTACAGAAAACAGTGAAAATAGTCACCCTGGCTCTGACTGAAAGCTCAACATGTCTGTGAAGATTCTCAGTCATCCAGGTCATGTTTCCTCTCATAGATTAATCATAGCAACTGGACTTGCTTGAGTTCCTTGAAGATGTTTCATCCAAGAGGCTTCATCAGTTCTGACTGACTAGTTGGGAGTTCCAGATACTGATATCCTTGAGGATCCATTAAAACCTGAGTTTGAGAGAGAGGCGAAAGAAGCCATCTATGTCAAACTGGAAAGACCATCCGTCAACAGAGGTGGAGGTCTGAGGCATCACCTCTCACCTGTTTACAACTCAGTCTTAAGAACTCTTCCCAGGAAGCTGAAACCACATCCACACCTCACCACAAAAGACCCTTAACGAACCCTATTGGGGCAGGGGGAGCACTAGTGACTCACATAACGAGGGGGAGGAGCAACAAACCCCCAACTGAAACCGAAGCTCAAGTGTTAATGACTCCTCAAGGATAGAAGTATCTGGAACTTCCAATTAGTCAGTCAGAACTGATGAAACCTTTTTGGATGAGAAGTGAAACGTCTTCAAGGAACTCAAAGCAAGTCCAGTTGCTCCGATTAATCTATGAGAATATTAAAGCTCAACAGTTAATGCTTGATATCCTTCTTTTTTTCAACCACATTCCAGCACATAAACCCTGGTGAAATCACAGAAAGTCTTTTTTACATTTGGCCTTTTTGTACTAATTACACAAGAATTTAATTTTTAAATTTTCTGCTGATGACTTTTAAACCAACATCTGAGTCTTACCCCAAGCTACATCGCAGAACACTTGACCCCATATGGGCAACACTGCAGCCTCAGAGCCTGAGGTGGGGTCCTGGAACTGCCTGTTCCAAACTGGAGGCCTAAATCTAAATGTGACTGAGTTTTTTTTTCCATCAGAACCCCTTAACTGAGGAGGTAAAGCTTGCAAATAATTTCTTTACAGTCATTTTTAGAGGCTCGCTTTCATGTGATGTTGTCTTTTTTTATTGCTAATTAAAGTATTTATTGTTCTATTATTTTATTTGTAGATTTAATACTGACTATAGAACAATTTCGACAAACTATGATGTGTTAATTAGTGGTCTTAAGAGATGGCAGTGGGCTAATTTGGTTACTTTTGGACAGACTCACAGATTCAGGTTAGCCGTTTCACCCTCGTTTCCAGGTATTGTGCAGAGCGTAACGAACCATCTCTTTGGTGTTACCTCGTATTTAACGGACAGATAAGAGTGATATCGATCTTCTCGTGCAATTCTTGGCAAGAGCGTGATGAAAAAGAGAAAGAAAGCAGTAACTCGCATATAACCCTCTTTGTACTGCTGTGTGTTGTTTGAAGTTTTGTCCCCCGAAATTTATCTTCACCTCGATGTCAGAACACCACTTCAAATTGCTTTAGCATCAGACGGACATAAATGTGATCAAAGGGACATACCTCCTGCATGTCACCCACCAGAACTCTTTACGACAGAGCAGAGACGTAGCTAGCAGAGTGTAATGCCCCTCCACTACTTCACTGGTATGTTTATTTGCCCACCAGCGCTGCCCAGAGACTGCTATGACATGCTGATGGCCGCCTCAGGTCAGGCCAGAGACGGCGTGTACCTGATCCAGCCGGGCGACACCCCCATCGTGGCCTACTGTTCCATGCAGGAGGGAGGCTGGACGGTGGTGCAGCACATCACCATCAACAGCAGCGTGGATTTCGATCGCACCTGGGCCGAGTACAAGGGCGGCTTCGGGGACGTCACCGGGGATCACTGGCTCGGGAACGAATACCTCCATCAGCTCACCCGCGGCCCAGCGCGTTACAAACTAGGAGTGAAACTCGTGGATCAAGACGCCGTCACCAAGACGGGGGAGTACGATCCGTTCCTGGTGGAGGATGAGTCATCAGCGTACAGGCTGAGGCTGGGGTTGTTCCAGGGCACGGCCGTAGACGCTCTGACCCTGGATACAGAGAACTACCTGCATGACAACCAGAAGTTCACCACCAAAGACAGAGACAATGACAACTACTTCCAGAACTGCGCCAAACTGGAGTTTCAAGGGGTTCCAGGAGGAGGCTGGTGGTACGACGCCTGCGCTGGTGCCAATCTGAACCGCAGGAACGTCATCTACTGGCAAAAGGACTGCAACAAGGAGCGGCTGTGCAAATACGCATGGATGATGGTGAGACCTTCAGACACAGTTAAACTGGTTCCAAGTGGAGACTGCAAGAAGGATGAGCTCTAAGGACATTATTGGTGCCTAGTTTTTTTCAAGATTGCCTTTCCATCGAACACCAACTTCAGTCATTTTCTGATAGCAGCTCTTATGTTGGACATTCAGTTCACCACATTTTATTCTGAAATGCATGGACATGATCACAAAATACCGAAAAGAACCCAAAATTTATCACAAACTTTGAAACACAGTATAAAATTGCAGTAGCTCTAGCTTTGTTTCCACCATGTCGATATGCTTTGAAGCGAAGCATCTTTTTCATTCCGCAAAAATTGCAAGTGCAGACGTCTGGTTTATCACAGTTACAAAGAAAAGGTGTTTCATGACAATATAGCTTATGACACAGAATAATAAAATAACTTTCCCATCTCGTCTTCCATCCAATGCTTACAGAAAGAAACACCTCACAAACAGCTTTGTACATTACAAGTTTGCCAGAAATACAATAAGAATATGATGACATATTGATTTAGCTACAGTAATTCCAAGAAAACAGACACTGTATTTCAAAGAAAAAAGAAAATATCCTGAGGATGAAGAGAAACAGCGTGTACTGTCCAATCCTCCACACCGCTTCCTATGTAAACACCGACGTTGTGAGCGAGTTACTTATGCAGTTAGAATTAAAGAATTTAACAGGTTTGTTTTTGGAATTGTTGACCGCTAGTGTTTCATCAATGCCTGTTGGGGATTTTTGTACGACAGAAAATGCTTAATATGTAACGTGAAAACAATGAATTTTGTATTTATTCATCTGACAAATGGCACGCGTGAAAAGGCTTCGATTTATCATCAAGTTATAATCTCGACTTCGCAAGCAGACATCAGGACGACACGTATTAGCCCTTCAACATAAAATAGCAATCGCTAAATGTGCATTGTCGAGACAATACTGAGAGAATTAAGCAGATCTGCATGTGTTGTGACGTTTTGGGTGTAAGAGTGTTGACTTGGAAGCTGGCTTTTTTTAAACCAACAGTGTCGATAATTAGATTGAAATCGTTTTATAATGTCCAGATATCAAAGTGTGCGTCTTGACTACGAATACAATATGAAGTAATCTGTGTTAATCGATGGCATCGTGTGCACATAAGCATCAATTTGGAGGGAAAACATTTTCAGTATTTCAGAACCTATGTACAGTGTCACTTATAGTAGTACAGTTGTATAATGTTCTTCCATTTCCACAGTTTTTAGCAGCAATTAACATACACTACAGCAGACCTACTGATTAATGCGCAACACTAGAAGATGTACCAGCCTCTTGATATAGTATTTTTTAGCTTTCATATCACCTAATATGTAGAATTCAAGTTCATAAAGCCAAGAACATGTGATTTACAGCCATTTTCATACACCATCTTTAAAAAAAAACAACAAAGTACTTCATGTCAGTTTGGAGCTCACCACAGGGTTTTGTCCATACCAGTAGAGCTTCTCCTCAATCCTTTTCTTTTTCCACTGGCAGAGTAAGAGCATGCGAAAGGTCTTTTGAAAAGTCTTGTTGCAAAGGGCATAGCACATGGGATTGACGGTGCTGTTGACGTAGCACAGCCAGTAGCCCAGATGCCAGAGGGAGAGGGGGATGCAGTCTGAGCAGAAGGTGGAAATCAGCACCATGATGTTGTAAGGCGTCCATGTTAGGATGAAGGCCAGCAGGATGGCGCTGAGAGTCTGAGCTGCTTTCCTCTCCTTGATCAGCACCATCCTCTTCCTCTTAGTGATCTGGTTTTTCAGCGTAGCGTCTATGGGCTTAGAGGTCGAGGAGGTGGACGGAGCGCTCATGGACTCGGCCGAGGAGAACGTCGATGACGCCATTTTGGTGTCTCCGTTTTTGCTTTGGTGCTCCACATGAGTATCTTTGGCCACAGGTTTAAACTTGTACGACACACACTTGCTGCTCCTCTGGGAGCTGCTTTTGGGTGGTGTCGTGAAGAAACTGTCTTCGTCGTAGCTGCTGAGCTGCTCGCTTTCGCTGCCCACTCCGCTTTTGCCGGCCTCGCAGGCCTGGTTTCTGAAGGAGGAAGCCTGGAAGCCACCAGGGGACACCGGCCTGTCCTCATCCTCCGAGGAGGCGTAGCTGTTAAAGGTGGTGAGCTGGCCGGCTTTGGACCACTCATCATTGGTGGTGGCTGCTGATTTGGCAGCGTTGCTCCTGCTGGAGGATGACCAGGAGGCCTGGTTCCTGTCGTGCGAAGCTGATCTTAGTTTACAGCTAAAACAGGATCTAATGATGGTCTTCTGAGGCTGAGCCACCCCAGAGTCTGTAGGATAGTTAATCCCCTGAAGCTCCGCCAGATCCTTCGTCCTCTTTTCTGTCTCCTTGTAGATTCGACAGTAGAGGATTGTCATGACTGATACGGGGATGTAAAAGGCTGCGATTGCCGTCCCAAAGGTTATTACAGGCTCTGAGAAAAACTGGATCTGGCATTGCCTCTCAGGAACAGTCCTTTTTCCAACAAAATATTGCCAGCACAGAATAGGTGGAGCCCACAGAATGAGGGACACCAGCCAGGCTAAACCTATCATGATCCCGGCTCGTTTGGGGGTCCGCTTGGCCCTGTAGGTCAGAGGCCTGGTGATGGAGAAATATCTGTCAAAACTGATCACCAGCAGGTTCATGACAGAAGCGTTACTGGCTACGTAGTCCAGAGCCAACCACAGGTCACAGGCCAGGTTCCCCAAGGCCCAGTAGCCCATCAGTATGTAAGAGGTGTACAGATTCATGGAGAAAACACCAATGATGAGGTCAGCAGCTGCCAGACTCAGCAGGTAGTAGTTATTCACTGTCTTCAGTTGGCTGTTGACCTTAAAGGAGAGCATCACGAGAACATTCCCCACGATGGTGATGAGGCTGACGATAGCGGACACAGTCGCGATGGTGATCACCTCCCACAGGCTGTGGGTGACCAGGTGGACGTCCATCGTGCTGCTATTCACCGTGGCGTTCACCATGATTTCTCCTTCCATGGTCCTCGTGTTTATTGGCATCCAACCATGACAGGTGTGTTTGGAGTTGACACTTCCATGAAGCTCTCCTGGTAAGAAAAAAAAAAAAGAAGTTATTTGTTATCTTTGCCACAAGATGGCATCAAATCAGCACGTTGGGCGTCAGATAGTCACACTTGCCTGGACATTTCTGATAAAATGTTTTAAGGAACATATCTAAGGGTAAATTTGCTTACCACGCAGTACAGAGTAGCATTCAGCTGAGTTTCTCTTCTCATATGTGTAATATTGCCGTTTTCACAAGTAGTTCAGGCTCACGTGAGCGTAGACCCATATGGACCGTTTTGGGCAATGACTGCAAACATCTGTGGCACACTTCAAAAATCCAGGCCATTACGTAATTACATTTGCTGCTCTAATTCTGTGCTGTCAAAATACCAGTGCATGTTTATAGTTCACTGAGACAGCCATTTGTTAGAAAGTGAGTTCGCGTTTGTGATGAAACAGAAATTCTCCAACAAACAAGTGATGATGCTGGCTTTTCTTTTTGTTTATTCAGATATGCAGCTGAATATTTTTGCTCTGGTCATCCTTGTGTTGCAGGTGAAGGTGCAGCTTTTGGGCATCTTGTTTAGAAAATGTATGCAAACTGAGACTGATGGTAGAACATCTTGTGATGCTTCTTTATAATGTCTGTAAATACTTTATAACTGTGTAAATACATTATTATTTTATTTTAATTGTGTATCTTGTTTCATCTGTTTGTGTGTTTAAAATAAATATCTCGGATCCAGTCCTTTTTCTGTGTACGGTGCAGCACCAACGTGCGTTGAGCAAAAAGCGAGAAAATACCCTGTGAAAGGTCATTTCTTTGGTGAATATTAATTTCACGTGCTTTGGGAGGAGAATTATTTGCCTGGAGGACAAGTAAATCAAAGAGTATTTATGAGAAGGTCATTATATCGTTATGAAATGTTACAAACCGATCAGTGGCTGAAGCTTTAGCAAAGTAAACATGAACATTTGTACAGTTCCTCCTGATCAGATAAATTGTAAAATAGCAATTAGAGACTAATCAAATGAAAAAAGGACACAAATTTAGTATAATTTTGTTGTTCTTTCTGTTACTGAAACACCTTTACAAATGTGACAGCTTAATATCCCTCAAACTAGATGTAGAAATAAGAACAAATTAATGTATTGCACTTTGATGTGGGCTTCGTTTAGTAGAAAACATCTACTTTCTAAATGTGCCAATACTGGATGTTTAATTGTTAAAAGTTTACTAAACGACAGACACAATCTGATTGCTGAAACATCCATGTGCACATTTCAAACTAACTGCCAGCTATTTTCTGCTGTTTTTGCAGCGGTTGCATTAAAAATAATCAAAGAAGCAAACATTTTCTGAGTGGCGAGTTTCACAAATGCCTTGCAGCCTTCTCCCCTCTCTGTCATCAGTGTGGTTCACCCCGCTGCTAACACGAGCTCAGGAATGGTGAGTGACCCGTGCAGCAGAATGAACCCGTCACTAGTCAGCGCCCTGTTTAATCACCTGTGTTTTCACATCCGAGCTCAGTGCAGCGGTGCCGGTGGTACTGAGGGGGGGTGCTCGCATAGCACCCGTAGAGGGCAGCAAGAACCCTGCACATATAGAAGCGTATAGTACACATAGTCCCCTTAATCTTGGAGTTAGAGCAGTGGAGTGAAGGCACATTTTAGTCCTTGATGCTGGACACTATAATCAGTAGTTAGGTGATATCAACCTGGATGTTTGACGTAAGCCCACATGAAATGACTACGGATTAACGTGTTGCCTTTCAGGTCTGAAAAATGCATGACAGTGAAGGTTTTTATTAAATGTGTTAAAGTCACATTAGATCTCCTTGATTTCAGTACGTGTGCATCGGTGACAAACACAGATTCGTACCCATTCATTCAGACTGTGCAGCATTTGGGCGTGTGGTTACCAGTCTCTGTGCAGCTCTGTGCCACTAACACTTCTCTCCCTCAGGAAATATTTCAGCCAACTGGGCACAGTCACATTGGCATTTTCAGCCGTGCCACTTGCTCTGCTTAAAATTAGGGAATCACTGTGTTGCATCCCAGTATCCTGTGTCCTGTATAAGACCTTCCAAACACTAAAAAAAATGTTGTTTACATTCAGAGTTATAATTTGAAAATGTCCAGTTCAGGAGAGGCATAAATCCACCCTCGGGGATGTGCAGACTCTCTGAGGCGCTCAGCGAGGAGCAACAATGAACTCAGGGGCAGAGCACCTCTACAGAGAAAATCCTCCGTGTGGTTTCTAGCAATTGAACCTTCAGGCTATCAGCCAGAGCACTGGCACACATGTAAGAAGCTTTACATATCCTCCCCCTTAAGCTCTAGGGCCGAAACGTGGCCATAGAAAAACTAGGAAAGCAGATGACACATAGCACCGTGTTTAAAGAAATGGCCTCTCAAACATACTGCACACATTCATAGCCTAGTTGACCGACACTGGCCTCGTACAGAGACTGAACTCAAACCAACACACTGCTTAGGAGGAAATCAGGAGAGCAAAGTCAGCTTCAGAAAACTTGTTCACAAAGTTGGCAGAATCTTCTCTGTGGTACCAAACAGAGAACTTGAGGTGACTTAGTAGAAGTCTGGTTCTCTTAAAGGGTGATAATGTTCCAGTCTGCGCTCCTCTTGGGGCCAAAAAAAGAAAGTTTAGTTAAGAGAAAGCAGAAAGAACACTTTTACAGTTACTTCATTTTCCCACAGCTCAAGCTGCTGTTGTTTGTTTTTCTTTCTCAGTCCTTGTCTTCCATCCAATGATCCATTAGTTATCCCGTAGAGGGTCAGAGAGGAGCTGGAGTCTATCATCTGGACAGCTGGACAGGTATCAGTCCATCAGAAGGCAAAGAGACAAACACCCCACACTCACACCTAATTTAGAATCAACAATTAACCACCACTTTTCTTTGGAGTGCAGCAGGAAAACCTTCAGAGAAAACATGCAAACCCCACACAGATCAGCAGGTACGAGCCCAGAACCTTTTTGCTGTCAACCTCCCCAGTTCATCTCTTATATCCCAAACTGCCTCATCTAGAAAACGTTTTGCATCCTGAAAGAAAGATATATCGCTGCTCAAAATGCAGCACTGGACATAATCACAACTCCACACTTGGAAATAAGTTCCTCACTCATTGGCATTCTTTCTGCGGTGCCAGATTAGCAGGAGTGCCAGTGGCAGCCTGAGGCCCACACAAATAACATTCCAGTTACTGCGGGGGTCCTCCTGCGGGACTTGGACTGTCCCTCATCTTGTTATAGAATGGCATTTCATATCACATCACTCAAATCCCCACGCCATTACGCTGTTCAGCATAAAGGGTGCCGTGCCTCCACAGGAAAATCCACAGAGTTCTTGTTCCCTTAATGGCGCCGTAATTTCCGAAGGTAGATCTCGTAGAACAGAATGTTCTTGCAAAGTCAAAACTTATACTTGCTTTAAAATGGGTACAGTTGGATTCTTCAAATTTCATTGGTCAAAAAGTTTAAAGAAATGAAATTGAAACTTGAAAAGCAATTTTCAGACATTCATATTTTCAATCCACTCCCTGATCGCGCCACAATGACACCGACATTGGTGGTTTTGATTCAAACGTTTTAACAGGTTACACAAAAATTCATCCCACGACTTTACTGGATCCATTTAGACCAGTGTTTTCATTTGTCCATGTCACTGTGCTTATTGCTGGTTGGCAAATCTTCACCATGTTAACATGCTAAATTAGGAAAAACCCAACCAACATCACAGTTAAAGGGTTTTTGTTTGTTCCAAAAACATTCGTATGAAGTTCTAGTAATGTTTTGACCAGGAAGCTTTTACATCCCTCAATGTTTTTCTTAAATGTTATGTGCTATTCTCTAAAAGTCATTTTGAAAATGACTGGTGACAACATTGTGAGACCATTATGCCCTAACATTCTTAAAACATTTAGCAAATGCCACATTGAGAAGGTCCTCCTTTGTTCTCACATAACTTTGTATAATATTGTAGAAAAGTTTAAAGAAGAACACGAATATGTTACCTCAATAAACCTCAATAATATCCTCAAAACATATTGCAGGTAAAATGTTCTTCCTTTGTTAATATGTCAACTCACAGGAATGTCCTCTGACTTGTCAACAACAGCCTGAACATTTTTGTGAGTGTTGGTTTGAGAATGTTCTTTCTGTGACCCTGACAACATCCTCCAAACATCCTCTGATAGTTGCACTTACAGCATTATGTCTTTGTTAACTTTTAACTGTATGGGAACATTATTAAAAAGGTCTTTTAATGTTAAATGAAAATGTTATTTTATTCTACATCGTTAGACCTTGTAGGCACCTTGTAGGTCGCTGTGAGCTTTTGGTGTGCTGACTTAAACCTGCACTAATTGATTTTTTGACTGCTTGGGGGCAGTGGAAAAGAGTCGCAGTATGACCATAGAGTTACCTTTCTGCTGATGTGGTGTACTTGTTGGAGAAGCACATTTATTTAGAGTCATGTTTCTGGTCATCTGAGGTCTCATACTGACTGTCTTTTAGCTCAGTTTTGGGCTCCACCAATTCCTGAGGGACTCCTTAGCTGCTGAATGCTTCACCACAGTAAGATCCTAGAGCTTAGGTCTATTTTCGTTGTTGATAACAGCTGCCCAAAAAAAGACGAGTTCCCATAATGCCACCGTGCAAACAGATTTAGGTCCCCATAACATGACTAATACCTGCTCAGATGAAACAAATACGCACAAAGTACAGGCTTATTCTACCTCTTGACCTCAGGAGCTAGAGCAAGTCAAGCTTGCTAATAGCTTCTAAATTGAAGCAGGAAGCGCTTTAATGGTACACTCAGAACTCGGAGTGTGGGGTAAACATGGACTCGGCGTCACTATAAATAGTGAATATGGCCTGTCGTGGCCTGTTTTTGAGCTTTTTATGGGAGCGGTTTGGTATCAAATGTGACGCACAGTGGGAAAGAGCTTTG